GTTGAAAAGTATTATCGTCATTTTCCGGTGTTCGAATTGCTTGGAAAAATGAGTCCACGTAAATCCCTTCCATGATCATCCTACAATCTATGCTTGAATTCGTTCTTTGCTTGAAAACCAGATATCATTTTTCATAATACAGCTTGACCTCCGCTATCACAAAATCATCTCGAGTGCTCAAACCTGACTAAGTTCGACTCCCCGAAACTGAGTCCTAGTGGCTAGATGCAAGTCCCGTGGAATGGACCCCTAACAGCAACAGCCCTGATCTGAGACTCGAGACCCCGACCTGGGTTCGTGTGATAAAACTCGACCTTGACCTAATCTGAGACTCAACACCTTGACCTGGGTTTGCCTGATAAACTCGAGTCTTTTCATTTCAAAATTTTCAGAATTTCTCAATAACAAATACCAACATCAGTTTGGATCGCCCAAGGGAATAAGTAAATAAGAAACCTTTTCATAGCAACAAAAAATCATACTTAAATTCTGGAAGGTGACTTTTTCGTTTGAAAATTAGTAATCATTTTTTCCAAAATACAACTTGACATTTATCGTCATAAAAAGGTTGTTCCAAGTGCTCAAGCCGAGATGCCTAGCTAACAAGCCCAGGACCTCGGCACACGAACCAGGGTCTCGACGAACGAGACTTGGGTCCCCAATGGCATTGACCTAGGACCAACCACGTCGAACTAGGTCCTCATTATAGCACATTCAGTCTCTATCGCCTGGACTTAGGATCCTCGTTGCACCAGCTCATGACCCGATGGCCCAGACTCGAGACCACGATTGCTCAAACCTCAGAACTTGGGACTCCGACCTAGGTTCCCGAAATTATACTCGAGTCCTTTTCTCAAGACTGTATTTTATAATTTTTTGGCAATAAATATGAACAAATGGCTTCTATTTTATTTGTAAAGGACAATCATATACATCACAATTACATCATTTTCCATGAAATAAATAGATCCTTTTCTGCGAAGAATCCATTCTACATGGTTAACATTGAATCGTTTCTTGATCTCCAATGTCCGTGGGAGTATTTTCATGAAACCAGGCCAGTAAATTGGGACTAGAAATCTTATTGCTGGAAACAAAGAAGGTCGTGTATATGTTCGTTTAGGTATATGTACATATCTTCCTTGCGTCCAACATGGATGGTCAAACATGTCAATTACTCTTCAAAAGAGTTCAATTTCTTTTAAGTGTGAGCACATGCCATTGACCCACAATTAATTGTACGAGCCTGCTTTACTTTACTATATTTTAGGAATCAACCCGTTGTTTTCCCCGTTGCAATCTTTTAGCCGATTTGCCTGCCTTCCAGTCGATCGCCAATTTTGATTCTTCCTGTCCTCAATCTGTCGCGCAACTTCCTAGCCTTTCTGATCTAATTTCGTGTACACCCTTTGCAACAAGCGGCACAGGCAAGTGGAAATACATTGCCGATTGATAAGGTACGGCTGTGAAACGGAAAGAAAAATCGCAGAGCACAGTAAAAATCATACAAAACGAGGGACCAAATTTCAAACCCAGATCCATCCTCGAACGTTCTCTCTTTGTCTAGAGAGCATGGATCCTGTTGGAGTCTTTCGACCAGGTTCCATGTGGTGGGGCCTTAAAGCAAAACTCGCTTTGAGCGAACTTAGCCACCGCAATGATTTGAAAACTGTCCTGTCTCGATAAAAGTCATCGTGGCCGAAAATCATTGCGGCATCAGCCAGCAGAGTCCCACATGAAATGATACAGCTGTGTGTGAACGCGGGAGTACAGCCTTAACAACGGATCAGAACGCCAGTCAGCACATCAAGATTACTTTGTTCGCTTCCCTCTTTCTTTGCAAAAGAGAGAAAGACAAAACGAACAGGACGTTACCAGCGAATATCATCTTTCTATGTTGAGAAATTGTTACATTTATCGGACGGGCATATGTGTTTTGAGTGACAGCAACTGCTAATCCTTCCATGAGTTGAAAATAGTCATGTGTATTTTGCGAAAAGAGTTCATTGTTAGTCTTTTGTTGATTGGCCTAATTTCACATGCAACACTTGATAGGTGCCGGGTCAATAATAAAAATGATTTATGAAAATGAACACGGGTGCCCATGACCATGCCCGAGAGAGAGAATGAGAATCACGAACAAAAAGGTGGGGTGAATGAAAACTAATGGCTTTAAGGCGTGTGATCACTTTCCTTAAAGTGATATTTGCATCCATTATGTTATTCTGGAATTGAGACAACGTCACTAAATAAGAAAGCAATATACTCGCGATTCTCTTTGAACTTCTCTTGGATTTCATGATAGGTTTAAAGAACCTACGAAGAGATATATGATAATTACATGCTATGTTACTAAGTGTGATCAAAACACTCTTTCTTTTCCTTTACAATCATCACATCTCTTGAATGAAAGAACATGTTTTTCCTCACTCCAAACTAATATTTCTACAAATTGAATTTTTCGAATATAACTTTTCAAATCAGACTTAGAACGTCTGAGAATATCACTTGGACAGATATTTGAAAAAATGAGAGACCATTGATCATTATACTTGAGAAACATGCCCTTGAAATATAGCCCTTCAAATACTTGAGCAACTTGCTATGATACTAACCAATTGAAATGACTAACATACTAACCAAGAGAAGGAGTGAATGAGTTGCTAGAAGAAAATTAAACTTTATGGAAAGGTCGCGAGAGAGTCGAAGAAACACAATTATGTAGATGCAATAGCTTCTATCAAACATATAATATATAAGTTAGAGGGATAGAAGATATTGCAAGACGGATCTATAAAAATTTGGCCTTCCATTTGGCCATGTCCACTCTCCCAATATTAACAGCTACAAACAAAGCTCGAATCCTCTGAGTAATCTTACAGTTTCTAGATGATATTGCTTCTATATGAAGCTCAATAGGTGATTCTACAAACACAAGTACCTCTTACAACACTATCATCTCTAGGGGTGAGCAATGGGAATCGATTAGATTGGGAACCACATTGACTAGACCGGATCGGCCGATTCTGGGCGATTTCTGGGGCTACCGGTCAGGTTCCCAGTTCTAAAAAATTGGAACCAATGATAGTCCGGTTCCTGATTCCAGGGTGAACTGCTCACTTTGACCGGACCGGTTATTATTATTACTTTTTTCTTAAAATCTTTAAAGAAAGAAAGCCTGATGCTCTTTAGCCTTTCCACTTTACAGTTTCCCTTTCCCCTCTCACGAGTCAAGCCTTTCCCTCTCTTCAGTCTTCCCTCACAGCTCTTTCTCCTGCCGTCCCTCTTTCCAATGGCCCTCTCACGCTTTTTCTCCTCTCTTTCCAATTTCCTCTCGCTCGCACTCTATCCCTCTTCATTTGCTGCCAGTCACTCTTGTTGAGGAAAACTCCTATTGATTTTGAAGTTGACAAAACCTTCTATGTTATTGTAAATCGATACTTATTCTCGAACTAATCTATTCCAGTCCAGATATTCCTGAAACTCGGAAGAAAGTTATTCGGACTTTACAACTGTCAAGTATATTTTTGAAGACCCACATAATCGAAGTTCTGAGATTCAAACGCAGAAGTTATTCAGATGCAGATGCAGACGAAGAAATTATTCAGACGCAGAATTCAGAACATATCACAACAGCTAGTGATCTGGCATGGATTTCACAAAAGGAATGTTCTGATTGTCTCAATCTAAATCAAATTGATTGACAATCAAACATCACGACAAGAATGCATTACAACGGACAAAGCTCTACTTATGGAAATCAAGATTCGATTGTATGGTGCGAATGTAATCACGGGATTCGTAATCCGTCATCCAACGGCTACTCAATCTTTTCTATACAAATCGTCCAAGGTGAAGATTGGAAGATGATCCTCTGAATGCTGTCCAACGGCTAGTTTTGGAAGTAGCGGAGTATTTAAGGAGATCAATGAGTAGCAGAAGGTAGAACAGAATCAAGAATCAACAAGTCCAAAGTCTGAGCATACTCCAATCATTTCTCTTGTCATTCTGAGCAAAACATTAAGATCTCGAGGGACACTTTGTAAGAGTGATTGTGTGAGATAGAGAGTTCTATCATACACAAGAGTGTTAACACTTAGAAGTTGTAATTCCTCCTGATTACATAGTGAAATCCAGCCGGTAGGCTGTAAGAATCTGTCTTGAATCTGAATTTTATTCAGACTCTACTGTGATTTATTTTGTTTCCGCATAGATTATCAAAAATTGTTTTAGATCACCTATTCACCCCCCTCTAGGTGATCCTTGCTAGCTACGTCAACTCTATCTCTCTGACCTTCTGCTTCTTGAGCTTCGTTGTTCACACTCTATCCCTCTCCATCAGTGACCGGTTCCATTGGACCACCCCAGGCTCGGTTTGGTCCGGTTCCAGAACTAGGTGGTCCAATTTCCAATTCCTAAGAGGGATTGGACTTAAACCGGACCAAGAACCGATCACCCCTAATCATCCCCTCTCTTTTCAAATTACAAGAATTCAGCTTTTATAGAGAATTTCAATCATAAAATGAATTTTGTTTGCATAAGTGAAAGCTAGAGAGTATGATCAATCAAGAGAGAATAGCATTCTTTGAACCCAAATCAACTCCTCAAGTAGTGATTCCACTTTCCGACCAAAAAAAAAAACGTACTAGTAATAACATTTATAATATCTTAAAGACAATTTAATTTTATAAATAGAATTTCCCTAATTCTTTTTTGTCACAATAATAGAATCCTCGCCTTGCTTAGCTAACACTCCTCACATGCACCGACAGTGCCGGGTCGGGGCCCCCGGGGCCAGACTGTCTGTGTCCGACCGAACGCCACGCTGGCCGGATCCTCCCCTCCCCCTCCCCTCCTCCGTCGTTTGCCCCAAACGTTGCCGATCCAACGGCTACTTCCTGGGGACCACACTCCCTGTGGTCCCCACCTCACCGTGCGCTCGCCCTTATATAATCACCTCCCACCTCTGCCAACCAAGCTTGCCAACCTCACTCCCTCTCTCTCTCTCTTTCACTTGCCTGCGTCCTGTTCTCGCGTTTCTCTTGTCTCTCTCTCTCTCCACATCGAAGCTGCTGCTTCTTCTTCTTCTTCGCCATGGATCGCAAGAACGTCCTCTCCCTCGCGTTGCTCTGCCTCGTCGTCGCCGGCGTCGGAGGCCAGTCCCCCGCCGCCGCCCCCACCAAGTCCCCGCCGCCCCGGCCCCCGCCGCCTCCTCCCCGTCGCCGCCCCCGCCGCGCCCACGACGCCCGCCCCCGCCGCCTCGCCCCCGCCGCCTCCACCCCGCCGCCGCCGCCTCCGCTCCGGCCTCGACTCCCCTCCAAGGCCGCGGCGCCCGCTCCCGCCGTCGCCCCCGCGTCCCCGCCTCCGGCGACCTCCTCCCCCCCGGTCCCAGCGCCGGCGAGCTCCCCCCCGGTTCCGGCTCCCGCGAAGTCGCCTCCCTCGCCCGCGCCGGTGACTGCTCCGGAGAGCTCTCCCCCGGCTGCCGTAGAGGCTCCGGCGCCGGCGCCCAGCAAGAAGAAGTCGAAGAAGAGCGCGGCAGCTCCGTCGCCGTCGTTGCTCAGCCCACCTGCACCGCCTGCTGAGGCGCCTGGGGCGAGCCGGGATGAGGCATCGTCTCCTGGACCTTCATTGAACGATCAGGTAAGTTCTCACTCGGCACTTTTCTTCTCTCATCTAGTTGATTATTTGCGCCGCTATAGATAAAAAAAAAATGGTACTTTCTCGTCGGATCACGGCAGTAAATCAACCTACATTGCATTTAAATATACAGTCTTCACTTAGATGACTCACGACAAAATCAAATATTTGGTTGAGATGTGCACTGCGAGTTCAGATCTGACTGGTTCCTTCAGAGATCCGACGATACTGATGCATGCTGTAGTTCCTCACCAGTGGCTCTTTCAAGTGAAGTAAAGCTTTGTTCTTCGAGAAAAAACAGCAAGTATCATGCACTTTTTACTTCCATTTATAGCTGGCACTCACTCTGTACTTCGAGAACTGGATCCTCTCGCAACTCGTTCATCACAGTAAGACTCAACCCAGTTAATCAAATCGTTCGACGAACAATCTGCACTGTAGTTTTGTTTTCTTTGTGGGCTTTCATATCCTATTAAAGTTGGCATTCTTCACTGTCCAAGAAAGTTCCCTCGTGAAGATTCGAGAACCCGAGGCATGCATCGAGACACAAAACATTGATGTCTGATCTCTGGGCACGTGCTTTGCCGGCTCACCATAATTGCTCCCATGAACATATTGCAGAAAGATGGAAATTGGATTTAATATAACTTCTGGCCATTAGATTTGTCCTGGGGTTCTGAGCTTTTCGAATCTTTTGGTGGAAATTGCTTTGCAGAGTGGAGCAGAAGCCATGAGAAGCGTGCAGAAGATAGCCTCAGGCCTAGCATTAGGATGGGCTGTCCTCGGATTGATCCTCTAGAGAGAGAGAGAGAGAGAGAGAGAGAAACACGACTGAGAGAGAGATTGTTGTCTGTTCATTTGAATTCATTTAATCTTTTTTTTAATCCCTCGGGCCATGTTATCTTCATCATATGACGGGCTGCATCTGTTGTTCATTGATATATTCAATTGTGTGCTTTACCCCCAGTGCAAAAACCATGATCTGTATCTTGACTGGTGACGGTGGGATTCGGGACTTTTTCATTTGTAATTCTTTTGTGGGGGAGCTTCTTGAGGGAAGCTGGCTCTGTCTAGCCTCATTTGTTATTCGGTCTAAAGAACTTTTTTAAGGGACCCCTCTTGGGTAGTAATAATTCTCTTTTTTACAGCTGTGTTATGTTATTAAATTTGCTTGGGGAACTTTCTTAAGTCCTTATTATTTTATTCCTACATGTGTTTCTTGAATTCGATATGCCATCTTTCCTTCCAATCATCTCATGGACCCTTCTAAATCAACGGTTGATTTTTAGCTATATGAAAAATTAGAATTGGAAATTACCCGTTAGTTCTCTATGGTTTCACCTAGAAATTGAACCATCGGTTTGGTCTGGTTTCAGGAACCAAATCGGTCCCTAATCCCTATAAAATTGTATGCATCAATTGATATCACTGTACTCACTACAGAATTCCCAAAGCACCAAAGGAAGAGGAAGGATGATCTTCACATATTACAACAAGCGCTTATAGACACAAAGAACAAAGTCCCCGTCGATATATTGAGACCTGTTTTCACACATAAAAAAAAAAATTGAAGATAAAGTAAATATGACATGGATGACCACTACAGTTCTAGGGATGGTCTTTAATCTACTGTCTTCTCGTATTCACTACAAACCACCTAAATCTGTGTAATACACCTTGAACAGAGTGTCACAAGGAACCTCTACTACAAGCCTTTTAAGGCTTATAAAGGTCTAGTTCTTTTTTTTTTTTGGTCGAATATAACGGTCTAGTTCGGGTGGATAGTTCCACACTTTAAATCGGTATCCACTGATTCTAGTAAATTGGAACCGGGCACCAAATTGGTCCCATGGAAACCGTTGATTCCAGGTTCGATTCGATTCCAGGTGGTTTTTGATTTCTTTGCACACCCCTACTAGGGAGATTATAGTCTTCGGTGTCTTTTGTATGCTTATTTGAGTAATTAATTGAGCAAGGATTACAGTTTTTGGTACTTATTAAAGTAATTGATCATCAATCCTTTGAATAATCCCAACTGTTTATTGAAAACTCAAACCAGTATGAAACAAACATTTAATAGACATGCTAAATTATTAAGGTAGCACTACTGGAGGCGTCCTTGGATCCTTGGTGTTTGATCAGGTTTACCTCACCAAAGACAAGCGTTTCCACTTGAACAGGCTATAACGCCTTGTTTAACGACCTAGCGGCTGGTTTACCTGTTTACCCCTTGTCCCTCCCCTATGTGTGTTTTTCTTCCAGAGGGAGGTCTGGAATGCTCTCTTATTTTGACATCCCAAGATCCGGATAAAATCTTTTAAAAACATGCTTAGGTCCAATCCCAACTATTTATTAAAACTCAAATTGGTTTGAAACAACACTTAATAGACATGCTAAAATAGTGAAGGTAGCACTAGAGTCTCTTTAATTAAAAAGCATTGCGAGAGTTTACTTTTTAATCAAAATTTTTGCACCCACCTCTCATTTTTATTCCTTAATTCTTTTTCAATAAATAATAAATCTCAACTTGCTACCACCTCTCATTATTGACTATCAAACCGCAAGCATAAAAAAATATCATTTTCCATTTTAAAAACATGTAACATGTTATTTAAAGAAAATTCAAAAGGATGGTCGACGATGATCGTCCTTTTCACTTATAATAAAACATACCACTTGCTTGATTTTGTCTCTAAATAACACCAACTCTTTTGTCATTACAGCTTAGTCATTTCTAACTATTTATTATTTCTGGTTTCTGATTTCTAACCTGATAATTTTTATTTGCGATCACTTAAATACTATTCTCAAGTAGATCCCTTTTTTTTTTTGTCTTTTCTTTTTTAACAACGAAGGAGCCTACTTCAGATAACTAAACCCTTCCTTGACTCTTGGAGTGCCCCCAATAAGCCTCATGGATCTTGTAAGATGCGATAAAAATTCAAATGATATTATTAGAAACATTGTGAGGCGGCTAAAATTACAAGGAGCTTAATAAAATCGTTGGTGTCACAATCAAAAGGTCTTCTAATTATATTTAATTTAGTAAATAATAAAATCCTTGGTGTCACCTCAATATTTTCCAAATTTTCTTTAAATTCAGAAGTATTGATTGATGGGCTGATTTTATAAGGCCTAACATCCTAAAAAACCTTAAACTTTAGCTTCTGTCCCAATTAAACTTTTTGTCTTATAAAAAACCTCCAACTTTAGGTCATGTTTCAATTCTACCATAAACTTTTTTTATCTCATAAAAAATCATTAACTTTAGGTATTATCCCAATTCTACTACAAACTTTTTTCTCCTATGAAAAACCTCAAACTTTGGGTCTTGTCCCAATTTTACTCTAAAATTTTTACAGTCTCATAAAAAATCATAAACTTTTATTTGAGTCACAAATATTGCCCCATTAACCCTCAGTCCAAAATTTCTCGTTGACAATCGAGAAATAGAAAAACTCCCAAGTATGAGCTGTTCAAGCGTCCCGAGCACAAGCTCTTTGAATGTGAGAGATGGAACATTTCCAAGCATGAAAGATTGACGAGCGCAAAATTACTAAGGGCGATTTTGATGGAGGGTTAATGGAGAGTAGATTTGGGACTCAAGTAAAAGTTGACGATCTTTTATGAGACAAAAAAAAATTAGAGTGAAATTGAAATTGGACCTGAAGCTGTAATTTTTTTATGAGACAAAAATAAGTCTAGGGTAGAATTGTTATTGGGTCCAAAGTTGAAAGTTTTTTATGAGAAAAAAATTTTATGGTAGAATTGGAACTGAACCTAAAATTGGGGTATTTTTTTGGACAAAAAAAAGTTTAGGGTAAACTTAGGACATGACCTAAAGTTGGAAGTTTTTCAAAGGTAAAATTGGGACAAAAGCTAAAGTGCGAGGTTTTTTAGGGTATTAGGCCGATTTTCTAAACTAACTAAGAAATGTGTACGTAATTTTAGTAACTGAGGAAAATTCTAATAAATATGGACATATCGAAGCACTCTTCAATAGGAATGACTTGCAATAAGCATACTTATGTCGCTTAGGGTGCGCATGAATACCATTCTGTGTCCGGGAACTATTTCTGAACAGAAATGATTTTTTTTTATTCTGTGCCCGGAAATAATTTCTGAGTATTTGAAGGCGTTTGATAAACTGTCCAAAATTTCTATTCCTAGAGTAGAAAAGAACAGAAATGCGTTTGGTAACTACACAAAATTTCTGTTCTCAAATAATATTTTAATAATATTTTGAATTATTAAAATTTTTTTTTTCTTTCTACCATTTTCTTCTTTGGCCATGGCCGGTAGCTGGTGACCGGCGGTCGGCGACCGGCCACAGCCCAGGGCCGGCGAGGGCGAGGGCTAGACCCTCGCCATCTCTGGGCGAGGGCGCCTCGCCCTCGCCTCCGCCGGCGCCGGCGAGGACCGTGACGCCCTCGCTCGGACCCTTGGGTCGTGGCCGGTCGCCGGCGGCCGGCCCAGCCCAGGGAAGAACAACACAAAAATAAGAAAAGAAAAAAAAGAAAAAGAAGAAAAAAAACTGATTCTCAAAATTGTGCCGAGAAATAAGAAGCAACTTTTTTTTACATCTTATTTCTCTTCCAAAACTGTTTCTCGGCACAAATTTTTGCAAAAATATGCCCAGGAACAAAAAGTTTACCAAACGCATTTCTGTTCCCAAACTATTTCTTGGAATAAAAGAACAGAAATTTTCACTGTTTGGCACGTTGCCAAACGGACCCTTAGTGTAACAATAGTTCAACTCCTTTGTTTTTGAGTTTATGTTATTTTAAAGTAAAAGTAACGAATGGTTACATTGAACTATGTTGCAATTGTTAAGCAACTGCTTATGAAAAGTATTGCAATTTTTGATACGATGTCTATTCTCGTGATATACACTATTAATATCTTGACAATTAAATATTTTCCCGTTAAGCACGTGTTAACGAGTGCATCGAGGGCATTTGTTAATAAGACCACAAATATACTGTATGTTCTATGCATATGTATTTATTTGGTTCTGGGCCTTGTGGCCCATTTACAGTTGGGCTTTTGGACCGTGCTTCCTGTACCTCTAGAAGATGGATGGGCCTGACTTCCTTGGTCACCATAGCCCCAAACAAAATCCTTTCTAACATGAACAACTTAAACAAGGTGTGGAGAAGAAGAGACAAATTTCACATGATTTATGAAATGTGATCAGCTAGACATATTGCAATATATTTAGATCATAGTCCCTCCAAAGGAAAAATAAAGAATGAATACCATATAATCATGTTGCCCGTTTCGTTGACTTACTGAGATAAAAAAAGGCCAAAAAAGAATACATACAATGTAGTATAAATATCACTATATTTTCAATCAATCCACCAAAATTAGTTTATTTACTAACCATGCATCATGGTTTTGACAATGGTGATTCCGAAAAAACCAAATTTAAGATTAAATGTAGAGGCTTCGAAGAATTGGGGCAAGATAGCTTAGGAATATGCACTCTAAATCTTTAAAACATTTCGTCTTATTAAACAACAAGTGGCCAAATAAAGGAAAAAAACTTATGCAACACCCCTCATAGCCTGTTTGGTATAATCGTAGCTAAACTCTAGCTATGTTGTGCAGTGTTTGTGCCGTGAAGTATTGTAACTTTGATGGTTGGTGATACATAATTTAAAGTAGGGGTGTGTAAAAGAACCGGGACCCGCCCGGAACCGCCCGGAACCGGACTGGAACAGGTGGTTCCCAAGGGAACCGGTCTGGTTCCCGGTTCCAATTTTTTGGAACCGGTACTGTTTGGACCGGTTCCCGGTTCTCGGTGTGGAACCGCCCACCCGCCCACCCGGACCGGCCACCCGGACCGGACCGGTAATATAATAATAATATATATATTTTAAATTTTTAATTAAAAAAATCTGACCCAAAAAAATTTTAAAAAAAAGAAAATTTGTTATCATGTCTGAAACTCTTGTGTAGTTGGGATATCTTGGTCATTTTTCCCAATAATTAATGGGTACCCACTTGATTTATGGATAATGTGGTTAATATAATCGATCATAGTGTAGGAATTGTATGAAAAGTTATGTTCTTTTCCTTTTGTTCTGTTGATCCGATGTTGGTCCACAGATTTTTTTTTTTATTTGTCTAGGAAAACTTGTTGAGACTGGTTCCACGGACCCGCCCAAGAACCGGACCGGACCGGCAGTCCGATTCTTAAGCGG